TACAGAAAAAGACAAATAGAGGGGAACTGATAATAACAGTAAAGCAGAGAAGGTGAGAAAGTAAGTCGGAGGAAAATAACTGACGAAGGAAAACGTAGTTGGTGGTGTTTATGCTGATTATGATAATAACAATATTAGAATAATGATGATGCTGATGATGATGACAAAAGTTTTTGATAATAATGATAATGACAATGATAATAATAATAATAAAGACCTTAGTAATGATTTCATAAATACTACTAGTAGTAGTAATAATGGTGATGATGAGGATAATAATGATGATGATGATAATAATAGTAATAGGAAAATGTAATAGTAGTAGCACAGATAGTAGTAATAGTAGTGGTAGCAGTAGTAGCAGCAGTGGTAGAGTAATAATAGTAGTGATAGCTGTAGTATCAACAGTAGCAGTAGTAGTAGTAGTAGTAGTAGTAGTAACAGCAGCAGCAGCAGCATGTAGTAGTAGTGGTGGTAGTAAGTTGATGAAGACAACGGCTTGACCTCTCGTCCGTCCCGCAGACATTCACTTCTGTCCAAAGAGTTTGTCTGTTACTGTCTTCGCTTGGACCTGCTCCTGGGCCCAGCTGGTCTCGGCAGTGCGGAGGGATCAGCCAAGGTGACTCTTCATCGCAGGAGCGGGAATGCCTCTAGGCCACTGGCTTCCCAGCGGTGGGCCTTGGACCACTGGTGAACCATGTTGATAATGGTGATCGTGATCATGGTGATGATGATCAGTATGAGGAAGATAGTGATCATGATGATGTTGATGATTGATCATGATGATAGTGGTGATTATGATGATGATGATCATACTGATGATAATGATGATAGCGAAGGTTATGGTGATTATGATGATGGTAATGATGATCATATTGATGTTGATCATGATGATAGTAAAGATTATGGTGATCATGATGATAATGGTGATGAGATATTGATCTTGATGTTGATCATGATGATGGGGATTATGTGTTGATGTTGATGGTGAAGATGGTGATGGTGGTCATGATGGTAATGGTGATAATAATAATAACAATAATAATTATAAAAATGATAATGATGATATTAATAACAGTAAAATAACAAGAAAATCGGAAGCTGCTTCCTGCGTGTGATGAAACAACGGCTCCGTCATTTAACCTTTTTTAATTGATTGGATTTAACTACCCGAAAGGTGTATAGAAACAGAGAGAGATCCGATTCTAAAATTGAGGGTCGGCGGGCCGCAAGAGTTCGCAAATACAAGCAGTAGTAGTAGCGGTTGTAGTAGTAGTAGGAGGAGGAGTAGGAGGAGTAGTAGTTAGTAGTAGCAGAGTAGTAGTAGTAGTAGCAGCAGCAGTAAGAGTAATAGTAGTAGTAGTAGTAGTAGCAGCAGCAGAGTAATAGTAGTAGTAGTAGTAGTAGGAGGAGGAGGAGGAGGAGGAGTTATAGTCTTAAAACAGTTAATGGCCACTGCTCTAAGCGTTTCAGTCTCTTCAAGAAGTAATATATACGATTAACACTGTCGAAGAAAATAAGAGGATAATTTCTTCATTGAAATTCACAAAAATCCCTTTTGAGAAAATGTCCTGTTATCAAATTCCGTTCTCCACTTCCTACTTGTTTGTGCATTTATCAATTTTTCAATTTTTTTCCTTGAAGTCGTGATTTTCATTTGTTATTGTTTTGAATGCATCCGGGTTTCATTGGATTAGATTACAGAATATGGATAAGCGGGACTACGTTTTATGATTCACCTCTTCACTTTTTCTACGGCTGGTGTTCCACAGATCAAAATATATATAAACATATATATATATATATATATATATATATATATATATATATATATAATATATTATAATATATATACTTAAAACCATATTTATATGATTCGTTTAACAGTATTTTAATCTTCACTTTACTGAAATTGCAGCTTTTTTTATACTACAATTATATATTAGCTTCATAATTATCCTACTGCATGCATTATAATACATGCAGTAGGTGGGTTGTTGATTGGATGCCACAAACAAGTTGATTGAAGGTAATAACGAGGAATGAAGACAATAATTATGTGTGATAATATTTTCCTCCTCAGAAGAAAGTCTTCTCCAACTAAAAACTAAATCAAGATTCCTCTCATCAGAATTTGAACTTCTGTCACCTCACTTGCATGAAGAACTGAGTGTGTAAGGATTTTGAGCCATCCCCTAAGGCAGACGGAACCGTGGAAGTTGTACATTGGGGTTGTGACATTATCTTTTTTCATCAGCACATGCGATATCCTGAGCACGGAAATGGGGGCGCTCTGCTTGCGTTGCAACCGCGACATGCATGGAATTTTCCCCGTGTGACCGCGCGTTCTTATCAACGAATCTCTGATAAAATGCACGCACGGTCACAGGAGCGCTTCTTTTCTCTCTCTTTTTTTTTTCTTTCTTTCTTTCTTTCTTTTCAGGAACCAATTTGTGATATAACCCACTATTCGAAGTTACCCTGAGGGCCGATTTCTCAACTCGCTGGCCACACAAGGCGAACAGAACCATCGCCTAAGCGCTCGATTTCAGCGACAAACATGGCGTCTGCAGTTATCCGCGCGGCCTTCCTTGGAGGTTATTTGTCATTAATGGATGATGTGTGTGGGTTCGTTCGTGGTTGCTGATCAGAAACAGTAGAAATGTTTATAATAATTTGCTGCAAGAACTTCGTTTGGAGGATGAATATTGGGCAAGCTCCTTTGAGGAACTTGGAAGACCCACGCATGTAAACGATGATGACCTCAAGGATGCTCTCAAATGATTTTCCGCATGACATTAATAAGCACACTTGAAAAATATAAGAATATAATGCGTAGTATCTATTATCTATCCCATCATTTTCATTGGAATACATATGAGTATTAATATTTGCCCATTTGAATATTCTTTTCTTGGACTATAAACTTTCATGCCATGCCCGCTTTGCCGATTTCCGAATGGTAATATCGTAGGCTTCTACTTCAAGTCGGTGGTTGAGGGAAGTGGAAAAGATAAAGTTACTGTCGACTTATCGTGTTTCTAACCTGTTCATAGCAATGTTCGGAAGTACTTACGGGGGCTGCTCATCATTTTTAGTGTAGGCCTATATGTTTGTCCCATCAGACTCTGTAGGTGTATTTCATTTTTTCAACCCAACTCGCAGTTAACGCCACCAAAATGATCAAAAAGGAAAAAAAAAAATAATTTTCACCTGGTTTTAAATCTAGGGGATATACTTTAACAATTTTGTCCAATGTTATAATACTGATGAATCTCGCTGTCATGCATATAAAGACAGGAACAGAACATAGACTTTACATCTGTTTCATTGGGAATGAACTACGATTTAGTAGCTCACGGAATGTCATGTTTATTTCCCCATATGGCCATACGTTTACTACTAAAATACAGGGACAACCGGATGATGTAACCAGGTTGGGGAGGAAATTATGCTGGTCACTTAAATCGTGGAGACAATTGAGCCATATGCTGGGGGTAGAGCGCCCAGAGGCAATTGTGTCCACACGACAAACATTTCATTATGTCGATCACACGAAGCAGCTAAATATTACTAAAACAATTGAGCTGTAACCAGGTTGGGGAGGAAATTATGCTGGTCACTTAAATCGTGGAGACAATTGAGCCACATGAAGCGAGGCCCAGGTGAAGGTAGTCTCTAATTGTCATCATTATCGCCATTGTAGTTATTATTACTCTTATGATGACTGGTCTTGTTTTGGTCATCAGTAGCAGCAAGAATGACATAATCATTGTTTAAGACATTGTTGTTGTTGTTGCGACCTGCTATACCAATTACTACAACAATGTTTAGGTTTGTTTGTCTGTCTGCTCAAACCTCCTACAGTGTTAGTAATTGGTATCTTAATGTATGCATCTCCTCTGAGCTTTTTTTTTTTTTTCTGTTTCCACTCTGTTATCTCATTTTTCTGGAAATCTTTCATATCTTTCTTTTTGTGTGCATGTATGTGAGTATTCAGAAAGTGACAAGGTATCTGTGCAAATAGTTCTGTGCAGTCTCCATAAACGGACTCAACTAGCGAGTGCATGAAAAGAAACTCTGAGGAATTATTAAATTATTCATTGGTATAATGCAGATTATAAACAGTGAAAAATATGAATACAACAATACATTCAAATCAGATTCCACTTACATATGCTATCACATACTTTATACAAATGTTGAGATCACCTTAGGGCAATAACTTAACCTGACCTTCGGCTTTCAATGCATAACATCCATTTTGTACATTCTTCCTATCACACACAGAAAAATGGGCTTAAAACTACAAGAATATTGCTGTAAGATCTCGACTAGTTCAGTGGAAAGCAAGACTGCTTCCAGAAGCTGCTTTTCTTTTTGTTCTTCTTCTTCTTCTTGTCTGGACCGTAGCCACTCCCCGCTGAGGCGTCGCTGGCCTGACTCGCACTGCTGGAGTGGCTGTCGCTGCTGCAGGAGCTGACGTGGCTGTTGTTGCTTGACGTCCTGATTCTGCCGCCGACCATGTCTACGGAAAAAAAATGTTTGTGTTTGAAAGGCTAATATTAAGGGGTAGATTTCGTTATTAGATACCTTTAAACTCTTCAAAGATCTAGTGACTGTTCCTTTGGGGGGGAGTAAGTATACATACATAGATATTTAGATAAGAATGCATTTTGCACAAAAACGAAATTCCAGAAATGGTTAAATTACCTATGTCGAGGAAGTATTCGCAGTGAATGTCGTGGTAAACGGACATTTTGGCGTTTGTTTTGTTCTCTCAACCCTCTTTCTCTGGACTTGGAGGTTTCAGTGTCTTTCGCTTGCTCTACTGAAGATATGACTGTCTTGCTTCTACTGCGAGGATATCTGTTCTGCCATGGAGTTGTACGTCGGGGGTTCTTATAGCAACAAGAGCGCAACGTGCCTACGTGTTCATTGGGAGTTTTACCGATGGCTGATAACAAGGTGAGGGCGATAAGCACCGAAACGTGGCGCATGAGGATAAATGTTGTTTACTTTCAGTGTAAATACAAGGTGTTATCCTTTAAGGCTTAGAGGATTTACGAAAGTCGTAATCTGCCGGTTATCAATAATATATTATTGAACTACGGACACAATGTTATATAACAGATCAGATAAGTTGAAGAGTTCATTATAAACAAAATACACCTCATATTATTGATAAAGATTGAGCAGAAATTGATATAACCTAATCTGCCGGTTATCAATAATATATTATTGAACTACGGACACAATGTTATATAACAGATCAGATAAGTTGAAGAGTTCATTATAAACAAAATACACCTCATATTACGTGACGACCCACTATGAATGGCAAAGCTATGGGCAGAGCTTGGAATCAAAGAAAGTAATTACTTTGTATAAATATTTCTATTGGAGAAATTTTTCTTGGATGAATTAATGAATGATTATACTAATAAAATTGTATTCTGTACGATAACAGAGTCAGACCGTTTTTTTTTCTCCACTCTCGGTCTCACTTTTTTGGAGATAACGAAGGCGCCTCAACATACTGCGTATTTTGCTTCTGCTGCCATCGTCATAGTACACGAATCCTTTATCACTGATAAGCCACGCGGTCCCTCTCAGTCAGCTGGTAACGCCGTTGAGCGGATTGTACTTAGCGAATAAAATGAAATAAAGATAAATACACAAAAGGAAAAAAAAATACGTGACCTTCAACCATTTTTTTTATCTTTATTTTTTTTCCTTTTTTATGTTCTTCTGGCTACTAAGATCACAATTGGCCTTCATTATGATGATTATTGGAAAGGTAAGGATAATAAAGACCTTTCTGTTGGTGTTCTTATTATCATGGCAGTTCATGATAAATCGAGCACGATTTAAGCTATATTTCATTTTTTTTCTACTGTTACTGATGATATGTATTCTTATTTTCGTCATTTGTATATTTGTTTTCTTGTTCTTATTCTTCATACATGGACATACGACTGTGTATATATATATATATATATATATATATATATATATATATATATATATATATATATATATATAATATATACACATATACACACACACACACACACACAACACACACAACACACCACACACACACACATATATTAATATATGTGGTGTGGTGTTGTCATGTGTGTTTGTCTGGTCTAAAAAATGGTAGTGTATGCGTAAGATAGTAATGTGAAATGAGATGGAGAGATGTGGTGAGACTTTGAAGACATGTGTGTGGATGTGAATGAAAATAAGCCATGATGTGTGAGTGTTAGTGTGCTGCTGGTGCTCGTGATAATAATATATACTATAACGTGCCCTAATGACTCATCTCATATATATAGTAATATAGGTAATATACGATACTCGATATACTAATATAACCTACTATTATTTTACTAACTAATGTGATTACGCAAATAACACCCATTCTTTGCTGTCCGCTTCCATAGCTGGATTGGTAGTAATACTGAGTGAGAATATCATGATAAAATTCACTATATACATATTTCCACGGCATACCTGTCTATGTTAACTACATATCCTATCATATCACTCTGTATATAAATTAGATACTATACGCCACATCATACAACACACAAACACACACACACACACACAGACACACAACACACACACAACACACACACACAGCGACCCACCGCATTATATATAATATACTACTATATACCATCCTTCCATTATAATAGTTCTTATCCACTAACTATTTTCACTAATATAGATGTTATATGAACATATAGCACTAAAATACTATAATAATATAATACACCTACTAATATATATTAATGAACGTATCCAATGTTGACAAATGTAAGAAAAGATGGAATAAAGCCGGAGTATCTCTCGGGCACACAAACAGACATGTATTTGACGCGTTCCTCGATACGTCTCATCAAGAGAGATACATGTCGTATTCTGATGACGCACGGTAATCGAACGGTCAAAATACATTCCTCTCGTATTGTGAGATATCCAGTCTCCATTCATACCTGTTTCTAAGGCGCAGTACGTTATATACTGATATGTACAATATTAAGTACTTAGGTACTTTAGTGTAAATACAACCACAGGTATACAATGATAAATCATATAAAAATACATAATATACCTGTCACAATATATCAACACTCTTTAAGTGTATAATATACTATACATATATGTGTGTTGCTGTGTATGTGTATGGTGTGGTTGTATGAACATACATACACACACACACACACACACCACACACACACACACACACACACACATAGCTACAACACTACATTATAAAAATAGTATAATATTAATTATTAAATATTATTATAATATATATCTGATATATTATTATAATAATTATTCATATCACTATAATCTTAAATATATACTAAAATCTATATATCTAATATCTCACTCATTATCTCTCCTCTTACCTCTATTATATACTGCTTACTATCTCTATTCATATCAGGTTCTTAGTATATTTACTAATTTACTCTCATATAGCCTATATATATCGTTTTCGTCGTGGTCGATGCATCAGTCGTGTGTGTCATAGTGCGCTAGTCTGAATATATACAGCCCTATAACTACATACTATATTATCATAACCCATGCCCCCCACTATATATATATATACTTATATACCTATATATTATGTACATATATCATTATATCTATATATAAATATATATATAAATATATATAAGTAATCATATATATATATACATGTGATATATATTATATATTAGCTCATATATACATATATTATTACATCTAATTAGTATACTATAATACATTATATCATATGCATTATACATATAAATATAACCTGATACCTATAATATATACTATATACACATATAATATGCACTGTGTGTATGCCGACATACCACATATACCCTACCAAGATTACAGTCTATACACACCATACTATACACTCTACCTATCCATAACATAACATCACTATATAGCCTACATCCACGCACTAATATAATATACTCACAATAATACTAGCAATAGTATATGATATTATAATAGTGATAGTAGCTATTATGTATATGATATATGATATATGGTATATGCTCATATGTATAAATAAATATCATAATTAGCTACATATGACAAACTGACTATATGTATATGTATACTGTACCTAGTCATATATCTAACATATGCCCCTATCAGTACTATAAACATACTATAGTTCTATAGAATACTAGAATAAATATAATAGTACAATAAATATATATAATATAAGAAAATAAATATATGACTAGAATCATAATTAATATATAAATTTTATTATTTATTAGTATATAATATATATATACGTAAAGTTATAAGGATAAAATATTGTAATTAATGTAATGATAATATGATATAGTAAATTCACTAATATAGGTTAAGTAAGACATAAATAATTATAATAGTAATAACTGTACTACTCGTATAAGCATGTAATTATGTATAACAATGGATACATAGTTACAATCAACACACATATACGAACTAATAACTAATACTACATACATATCATCACTAATACACATACAACATACATCATACAATACAGGTATCAGATGTACTACGGTGCGTACACTAGCAGAGCATATATAATATGTGTTGATCGCTTGATGCATTAGCATGTATATTGATAATTTAGTTGTGTTGGATGTTTACATTATATTATTAATAACTACGCACACATACATACTAACCATACTAAAAAACTAAATTAATCATTATATTATATAAATATTTATATTATATATATAAATAATAATATATATATATGTATACTATAAAAATGCGTATAGAGTATATATAAATATAGTATTATTATTATATATATAATATATAATATATATAGATTAGTATAATAAACTAATTATAATTAATACATACTCATAACCTCATACAACACACTACGGTAATATATAACAACACATACAGACATAATCAGAACCCAAACAAACACTAACATAACACAACAAACATATCTAGATGGTGACAATTTAATCACTATCTATGAGCGAGTGGACTAATCAAACATACAGTCATATATACATAGACTATACACATCAACAACTAGTACTAAATATAGCTAGGTCAGAGTGCATGATTATAACGGTAACTAGCGAATCAACCTACTACACACAATCATCTGAGATGTACACGTCACAATATATATATCAATATCATAATATCTATTCATAAGTATTATGCTTATTGTTCATGTAGAATCGTATGGTATATATTACATTAATATATTAATATATTATATATTGATATAGATATATATTTATATAACCTATAATATATATATATTATATAGTATTTATATATATATATATATAATGTATATATATAGATAATTAATATTAAAATTATCATGTATAAAAGAGTATGAATAAATTATATAAAAATTAATTATATACTAATATATATACATAGATATTAGTTGTATTAATAATTATATTATAGTAATACTGATACATATATATATAAGGGGGAGGTAGTGAGGTTAATGATATAGTTAATTCAATGTGAGGTATCGTATTGTGTATTAGTTTAGTATTAATTAATATATATGTGTATTTAGTAGTAGTGATATATATTGTTATTAAGTTAATGTGTTGCACAGATATTATATAAATGATATACGTCCGATATGTATACTAATATCTATTATACATTAATCTGATAAATGTCTATATTAATTATATTTTTATATTATGATTTAGATCTCCTCATATATAATATATATATATATCTCACTTATAATTATATTCCTATTATGTGATATAACATATACATACTGTATGTAGTGTGGTACAGTATAGTACAATATATTTGTGTGGATATGTTGTTGTTATATATATATATATATATATATATATGAATATATATATAATATATATATTATACAGAATTGCACACCACTACACTATCACACTATTCACACTATCGCGCCGACACAACCCACCTTCACTAGATC